GAGGACGCTTTTAATCCCCTGGAAGTCACTTCTGCTGGTGAGGGAAGGGCTTACAGCAATGGGGGAAGGTGCAACAACAATGGCTGCCACATTTTTTTGTCTGTGCCTCTGGGATCAGAAGCAGCAATTAGTCACCAGAGGTCAGATTTCTGACATTTGGAGGACAGGGTTCTCTTTGCCCATCCTGGCTCTTACAAGCTATGTTCAGGTCCCTCCTGGAACATGTGCACAGCTGCCTACAATGGGACTAGGTGTAGGGCATGGGTAGCTATCACCGTGCTAAGAGCTGAAGTGGACCAAAATTAACTGCAATTTACCATCTAAGCCTTCCTCTGAAGGTTGCAAACATACAATAAATTCCAGAGTTCCATCCATTGAATTACATTAAATTCTGCCAGTGCAATTGTTGTTTAGGTGGGGAGACAGACTCCCGGTACTTCCTACTCTTTCTTCTAGAATCCTCCTATTCACTTTTAACAGATAAGAAAACTAAGGCACAGTGGAGTGATTTTCCAAATCACATAGCTAAAACAGGACAGGTGTGAAATTTGAATTCATGGAGCCCAACTATATAGTCTATATCACATTCTTAAGTCTATGCTCCACTGCTTCTATGGAGAGAAGGAACCTGGTGTACAGCCTGAAACCTCGGTTGCCACAACTGAAATGAATAAATGAGCAAATTAACACAGGTATTCATTTGGCTTGTAACGAAGGCAAGTTAATGAAGTTACAAGTTTACAAGAGCGTTGGCAGTGCCATTCTGGATGGAAGTGAGGGGAGATACTCCTTTTGGATGTGAGATGGACAGATAATGTCTTTATGGGGGCCCCAGGAGACAAGTGAGACACGTCTAAAGGCATGGCCTGCACCTAATATGCTGGTGCCCTCAAGGGAACAATTAGGTGGAAAAGGAGTGTCAAAGAGGGCTCTGACTGTGAGCCAGGTTTGCCTGTAGTGTGCTTCCTGTCACAAGTGTGGGTGTCTTTTACTTGCACAGAAACAGAATTCTAGGAAATCTCTGAACATATTTTAAAATGTTAAAAAAAAACCAAAAGGGACAGAAGTTATGAAAAAATATGCAATTCTGATATAGGATTTATATATAGTTCTAAATTTACACCTCTGGTGTCATCTTTACATATCAACAATGTACACAAAAAGTGTACAAATGTGGATTTATTGTGCATTTTTGCAAACATTTTATTTTTTGCTTTATTTATTTTTGAGACGGAGTCATGCCCTGTCGCCCAGGCTGGAGTGCAGTGATACGTTCCCGGCTCACTGTAACCTCTGCCTCCTGGGTTCAGGCTACTCTCTTGCCTCAACCTCGCAAGTAGCTGGGATTATAGGTGTGTGCCACCATGCTCGGCCAATTTTTGTATTTTTTATAGAGACGAGCTTTCAATGTGTTGGCTGGGCCAGTATCAAACTCCTGACCTCAAGTGATCTGCCTGCCTTAGCCTTCCAAAGTGCTGGGATTACAGGTGTGAGCCACTGTGCCTGGCCTTGCAAACAATTTAAAAGCCATTCCTATTACTGTTTGAATGACAATCCTTTTTCTTCTTTTGAATGGTAATTCCTTTGATATGTCTCATCTTGGGAAGTTTACTGCTAATCAAAATTGTGTTCTATGAGTTCTGTGACTTTAAAATTATAGTAATGTCTCAAAAATACATGTTAAAAAGTAATAAATAAGAGATTCCTTAAATCATAAGATTTATCATCTTATGAGTGACTTTTCCCAATCTTCTACAACCGATTGAACTTTTGTCATATACTATGTTAACTCATTATGAAAAATAATTAAAATATTAATGCTTTCCTAATTTATTAATTGCTAGCTAAAGAAAAAGTAAAGCAAAGATTTTATTTGAACTTTTTGTCCAAGTAAAATATAGATTTTGGATAAAACATTGGTGAAGAATATCATTAGTAAATCTTAGCTCTGCAATGCAGTCTGCATATTTCTAGGTGGGTTTTAAGAATATACCTTGACAATGTATCACTATAGCACAAAGACAGTAGGGTTAACAAACCCTCTCCCTATGGAAAGATTTGTTGCAATAGGTTTCTGCATATATCTATCTGTAGCACTAACTACATTGCTCAAAACAAAGGCCTCATCTGCATAGAGGAACTCATTCTACTTTGCTAAATCTGAAAGCATTCAAGACTGACATCTACATTTTTATTTTCTACTAAATGCACTCTAGTTACTAAACTCTGATCCATTGTTCACTATTCAACAAGTTTTAAAAGTCAAGAAACACTAGAAGAAAATGTAGGCAAAACCATTCAGGACATAGGCATAGGCAAGGACTTCATGACTAAAACACCAAAAGCAATGGCAATAAAAGCCAAGATAGACAAATGGGATCTAATTAAAATTCAGAGCTTCTGTACAGCAAAATAAACCATCATTAGAGTGAATAGGCAACCAACAGAATGGGAAAAAATTTTTGCAATCTACCCATCTGACAAAGGGCTAATAACCAGAATCTACAAAGAACTACAACAGATTTACAAGAAAAAAACCAAATAACCCTATTCAAAAGTGGGCAAAGGTTATAAACAGACACTTTTCAAAAGAAGACATATATGAGGCCAACAAACATGAAAAAATGCTCATGATCACTGGTCATTAGAGAAATGCAAATCAAAACCACATTGAGATATCATCTCACGCCAGTTAGAATGGCAATCTTTAAAAAATCTGGAGACAACAGACGCTGGGGAGGATGTGGAGAAATAGGAACACTTTTACACAGTTGGTGGGAGTGTAAATTAGTTCAACCATTGTGGAAGACAGTGTGGCGATTTCTTAAGGATCTAGAAATAGAAATTCTATTTGACTCAGCAATCCCATTACTGGGCATACCTAAAGAACTATAAATCGTTCTGCTATCAAGACACATGCACACGAATGTTCATTGCAGCCCTGTGTACAATCGCAAAGACCTGGAACCAACCCAGATGCCATCAATGATAGACTAGACAAAGAAAATGTGGTACATATACACCATGGAATACTATGCAGCCATAACAAAACCATGAGTTTGTGTCCTATGTAGAGTCTTGGATGAATCTGGAAACCATCATTCTCAGCAAACTGACACAAAAACAGAAAGCCAAACACTGCATGTTCTCACTCACAGACAGGTATTCAGCAATAAGAACACGTGGACTCAGGGAGAGGAGCATCAGACACTGGGGGCAGTTGTGGGGAGTAGGGAAGAGTCAGCGGGGATTGGGGAGGGAGAAGAGGTTGGGAAGGGATAACATGGGGAGAAATGCCAGACATAGTATGCACCTAAAGTTAAATAAATAAATTAAAATTAAAAATAGAAAAAGTCAAGAAACGAACTAGTTTTAGATATTGTAATTACATGGGTTTCTTTGGACTATTTAGAAATTCATTAGCAACAATAGAATTTATATTTCAGAGATTTGGAGGATGTAAATCTAACATTTTGGATTCTTGACCTGGATCTGAAACAAACATTTTCATGAGATTCCTAATCTGAAACAAACCTTTACATAAGATTCCTAATGACTGATTTATTCCTAATATATATGATTGGTCATGCAGCAGATCCAGTTTTTTGTTTCCAAGTTTAAAAATCAGATTTATATTTTCAGTCTAAAATTCCCAGTTGTAGTTCTATATGTGTGGACCAGCCACACCTTAGCCCTTGGGCTCAGATCACTTGTGGTTATCAAAGGAGTAGACAAGGTTAAACGCCTGCTTTCTACCCGAAGGGAAAGCTTGGAAATGGAATAGACCCCTGACGAGCTCTTTGGTCTATCTGTTTTCTACCTTGGGTTTGGAAATGGTAACCTTAACATGAGCAATATGCTGCTGGAGCACAGTTTGTATGCAAATGAATTGAGAGAGATTTATTACAGATTCAAAATGAGTTCTCCCTGATATTGCATGGGAAGACTTGATGATGCCTTAGCAACCTTAAGTACAAACTAGCCATCTGAAACCAAAGGTAAGAAAACATCTGCCCCCTTCTCTCAGGTTATATGAGTTGAAATCTTTAAGTTTCTACCTTCATGGTAGTAACATTTTTTTCATATTCAATATTTATTGCTGTAACATAACCAATCTCTGCTTATTAGGGCACGTAAACCATCTTACTGTTTTCCTCCCCCTGTTTCTGTATAACCCTAGGCTTTTCAGAAACAGTGAGTTGTTCCAGTTTGTAGTTCATTCAAATAGCTCTTAGACTGTCAAATCTGATAATTTTGGACACAGTGAGTGGGTCAAAATAGTTGAAAATGAACCAAACTTTCAATCAGATGTGATTTGAGTATAAAGTGCTATAGGTTAGTTGTAACAGAAAGCATGAGAGCTTAAAAGGCTCAGAATAATTTGGATAAAAATATCTTGAGGTCTTTTTCCATTTTAAAATGAATTGAGCAATTCTGTGTGGCTGATTGACAGCATAATGCAAACAGAGCAAACTGCAGAATGTATCACCAGGTAACTGCATTAGCAGCAAAACTCATAATGCAGTCTGTTGGCTGAAAAGAGCATGAAGGAGCCTTCTATTTTCTTATGAGGTGCCATATGTTCATAGTTCCTGGCCAATTATATTTAGTTACTGCCAAATTACAATTATTGGAAAATGCGCTCTACCCTATAGTCGTTCACAATATAAGAAGAGGCCTCATAGATACTGACTCTTCTTACAATTTGTTTAGTAGCATAAATATACTTAAAAGTGCTTTCTAATATTGCCCTCTATTTATGATATATCTATAACACAAGATATTGCTGTGTAATAGCAATCCTGAACATTTCTATATATTTCTAAGGACTGACTACACGTTAAATTGGTGGGAGAATGTTTCAGTAATCTTTGAAACTTTTATATTTTGCAGTAACTCTTTTTGAGATGGATTTTATTGTGGGATAAGACGCATAATATAAATGTTACAGGCAGTTCTTATATAACATTCAGGTACATTCTTGTTCATTTTTCACTTACCAGAATCAAGAGGCAACTTGAGGCCAATTTTGTGTGCTCAGGGATGGTAGAAAACACTGACAAAATCAAGCAACCAAAGACAAGGAGAAAACTGCAAAACAACAAAAGAGAGAAATCTGATAAGAACCTTGCCTTATTATCACGGACTTAATTTCTTGCTTCTAATGAATAAAGCACCAGGCCCATTAAATTGGCAGACATTAAGTCATGAAAACTCTGGAAGAGACAAGCTGTTTTGGATATCAAAATACAATATGATATACAGTGCAAATGGGGCTCCCCTGCAACTTTATTGATTAAAAAAAAGGTTGTCTTTGTAGCATGCTGCCTTTAAATGTTAACATCTAAGAATTTGTGAATTTCCCATACAACTTCCTTCCCAAGCAATGATCCTGAGAAAGTCCCAGCAAGTATGTTCTGGCTCTTCCATGTGGGGAACACATGCTGCAGTCACCCTTCTTTCAAAGGAACAGAGTCTGTCTCCTATTTGGCAACTTTACTAAACTGTCAAGTATCCTAAGTGGTTGTTACTTAGCCACTGGCTCTCACTTTCAGAGTCTGATATTGCTCATGGATTCTCATTTACTATTCCTTTATATTATTAATAATACGATCACATATTAATAATGAGAATAAAAAAGGAAGCAAATGATTTTCTTGGCTATCATGCACTTTCCATTTCCTTCTAGTCAAACTGCAGGAGAAATGACTTCTCAGCTCTGTCTATTCATATATAAGGATAGGGAACAGAAGTCAGGATCAGGCATTGTCTTCCAGTTAATCTACAGACATTTTTATTCCTAGAAATGTGTAACTTCTAGGATCAATGGGAGAGCTGAGTTTCTGAGGAAAACGTGTACTGAAAGGAAAGGTTCTGTTTCAAAGCTGAAGTTACTTATTTTGAAATGCAAGGTTAAAAAAACGAACCTGAGCTACTTGCTCTAGGCCATATTTTTACTTATGTTCATCTCTGGGAAATTCACACAGTAAGCTGTTTTAAAATACCAAGTTTCTATGCTCCTCTGGATGACATAGAAGTTAGTCCCTGACTCCTCCTTGTTTCCCCTGAAAAGTCTTACAAATCTTACCACCACACTTGACTGGAAGTTTCCAAAGGCCAGGGTTTGGGCAGTATAGCCAGAGTTTGGCTAATTATGCCTACAGGACAAATCTGGCTCCTAATGCCTGTTTGTATAAACAGAGTTTTATTGGCGCACAGTCACACTCATTCATTTATGTATTGTCTATGGCTGCTTCCATGCCATGATTGCAGAACTGAGTAGTTAACAAGAGAGACAGTAAGGCCCACGGGACTTATATACTATCTATCTGTCCCTCTAGAGAAAAAGTTTGTTGACCCCACCGTTTCCTCGTTTCCTTATACTTATCCCAACATGGGACTGGAGAAGAGTTCATAATTGCTCATGTTTTCTATGCTGAAAATAATGACTAATGTTAATAGAGAGGTTCCTGTAAGCTGGACAATGTGCTAAGCCCCTTTTACATGCATTCTCCTCATTCTCCTTACATTATTCATTATCTCTATGTTATCCCCAGAAATCTATGGACTAAAAATATTACAATCACCATTTTACAGATATGTAAACTGAGAATTAACATTTGTAGCTCATCCAAGGTTGTGTAGCAGAAAGAGAACCTAAGCACTGTGTAGTCCAAGCCTGTACATAGTGCTGCTGAATAAGCATGCAAAGATGAGAATAGTGGTAACATTTTTGGCCCAGGGAGACACTTGCCTATCTCCTCAAACTGAGGGAGAAGGAATTGTCATTCTAAACAGAAGTCTCCAAGAGAAAACAGCCTGCCTGTTTTAATAATTAATCATGCTTTTTTATTTTTCATTATTCAATTTTTAGAAATAGGGTGTTTCTCTGTTGACCAGACTAAAGTGCAGTGGTGCATTCATAGCTCATTGCAACTTTTACCTTGAACTCCTAGGGCTGAAGCCACCCTCCCACATCAGCCTCCTGAGTACCTGGTACTATAGGCACAGGCCAGTAGGGCTGGCTAATTTTATTTTATTTTTTAATTTTTTTTGCAGAGACAGGGTTTCACTATGTTGTTCAGGCTGGTCTTGAACTCCTGAACCCAAGGGATCCTCATACCTCAGCCTCCCAAAGTGTGTCTGGCATCATCATACTTTTGATTCATGCATGTAATGATTCAGGATACTGTGGAGTGTATTTTAAGTTGGTACTAATGGACTGGAATTTGCAGACTTCCAAAATTTGCCAAAATCCAGTGTGCCTACCTGATTCCTAACTACAACTGAGAAAGTGAAATATAGGGATCACTAAGGTAGTTAGGAGGATGATGTGGAATCAGATGACAGTGACATATGTTCTCCTCTGGTGAGTTGCTGTTATCTGGACATTCCCTCCTCTTCCCCACCAAGTCCAGATTTACCAGAAAACACTTGGAAAAGCAAGCAGGGGATTATTTAATCATTAAGATACTTTCCTCCTTCAAGAGCATCCCAATGGCAGTTTTATAATCTCTATGTCTGTGTTCAAAACACACCTATTGCTAGTTCCTTCTTCATCAATATTTGAATGCTATTTTAATTTATCCTTGTACATCTGGTAGTCTTTGGCACAGTGCCTTTTACAATGGGTGCTCAATAGATCTTTTCAATTGTATTGAAACAATTTCTATGCAAAAATGGATTTGCAGGAATGGCCTACAAATTCTTACCATTGGGAATTAAAATCTAGTGAGGTGGGCAAAGTGAACACATCGGATCATAATGAAAGGCAGGGGCAGAAAAATGCTAAGAAAAATGCTATAGAGGCTGAAACTGGGGAGAGATTCTATTTAGTTGGGAAAGGTGGGAGCACATCAAGTTTTCCAAAAAATGATAGTGCTTGAGATGGTCTTTGAAGGAAGAGTAGGGTTTCAACAAGAGAAATTTCTGGAGAAACACATCCTAGAAGGAGGGTACAAAATGTGAAAGGCAGCAAGCCAGAATATGAATGAGGCAAACTATTTGATCTCTTTCATGAAACAAAAGTCATCAAAGTTTGCATAACAGGGTGAAACGGGTGGCTGTATTGTGTCTGAAGCCAAGTTGAGGAGAGGCTTGTAGGGCAAAGTCTGCATTTAGTTCAGCAGAAAATAGGGAGCCACTGAAGATTTCTTTTTTTTTTTTTTTGAGACGGAGTTTCACTCTTGTTACCCAGGCCGGAGTGCAATGGCGCGATCTCGGCTCACCGCAACCTCCGCCTCCTGGGTTCAGGCAATTCTCCTGCCTCAGCCTCCTGAGTAGCTGGGATTACAGGCACGCGCCACCATGCCCAGCTAATTTTTTGTGGTTTTAGTAGAGACGGGGTTTCACCGTGTTGACCAGGATGGTCTTGATCTCTTGACCTCGTGATCCACCCGCCTCGGCCTCCCACAGTGCTGGGATTACAGGCTTGAGCCACCGCGCCCGGCTACTGAAGATTTCTGAACAGGAGAAAACGTTCATTAGAGTTGCCTTCTGGGAAAATTAAGTTGAAGCAGTGTATATAGAATGGATCTGAGTAGTGAGAGGCAGGAACAAGGGTAACAGTGAATTTAGGTTAGGCTGTAAATGAACATGGTAGAAATGAAAATGGAATACAGAGGGAGACTGAAGGATGTTTGGGAGTGGAGTCTGGGAAGCTGGCGTGGTGGCTGTAAAGTCTGAGATGACTGTACAAGTTAGGAGAAGAGAAGTCAAAGTCAGGAGGAGAAACTGGTTTTGGGGAGAAGAGAATAATCCAGTTTTAGACATCCACATGGAAATGTGGATTTTGGGCACAAATTTTAGCTGGAGATATGGAAGTACTTTTTTTTTTTTTACCCCCAGAAGAAGGAAATGTGTGGAACATGATATCCTGACAGTAAAGACCAAGCATATAAAGTTTTGGTAAATAAGCATAGAGGATATTCTAGAACCATTTCTTTCATTTGGCAAATGACATCATGGAGAACAATGAACACATTCTGCTATGAATTAGTTCTTGGTATCATTTCCAGAGGCAGACTTCCCAGCTGGAGAAAACACTGAACTGACACAGAGTGACCCCTCTAAGGTGACAGTGTTCAGATGCTGGGATCACTGGCAGTGACATGGTGGAGTTTGTGTGTGGTTCTGCTGACACTATTGCTTCTGAGGATCCTGTGCACATGTATTCATGCTGATAACTGACCATGACCCCAGGGCACCTCTCTAGTGGTCGAATAGAAGTAGAAGCAGTGGCAAGAGTCACTGGGCTCACGCTATCCTAATGTAGAGTCCGTGGTCCTCCAAGGGATCTGTGTGTAAAATTTAGGGGGCTGTGAACAATAGAGGAAGGAAAAAATTGTGTTTATCTTTCACTAACCATGGCAATAGATTATGATGGTATTAGCAGCACTTGTGACTGTTGCTCACAAAAATTACAAATTTTAAAACCTCATTTTACAGTTATAGATGAAAACATAATTTTTTCATTTCGAATATTAATTTTGCTCATCATTTCAAATTATGTAGCTATTAGTCCCACTCTTAGGGCTTGTTTTAATAAAGACACATATGCATTTCCATATTGCATATTTGTGTAATGTTTTAATAATAGATTTCAACCTAAGTTTTTCTTTTGTAGTCACATATATTTGAGGAATGGTTCACAGTTTTCACAAGATTGCTGAAGGGCCCATGGCACACATAAAAATTAAGACATCTGTAATTGAGAATTGGGAAGACAGGGCTGGAAGGTGGCCCATTTTTGTACCCGTCAGCTTTATGATCAGTTTAAGAAATATGAATGTTTTTCCATGTATACATTAATCCTGAGGTATCATAAGATGCACATTCCTTCAAAATTAGTCTGAAATAGCTATTGGCCTTTATTTTGTCTGAAACACTCATATTTTGTTTATGAGGAAATTCATTTTGATCTAGATCTTTTATCCAAAACTTTTTATTTGGAAGGCGCTGATTATTGTAAGAGGAAAGAAGGAAATTTATGAAAAGTTTAAATAGTACCAGCTCAAAGGACTCTATGTTTACTCAAGAAAACTATCATCAGCTTTTCTTGTGGGTTAATTAAGAATCAATTTGTCACATTT